TCCCCCGCCCCGAACCGCTTTCCCCAGCCCCTTCCCGGGCACCCGCGAAGCTCCAGCCTCTGCGGCTCGCTCTTTGGAGCAGAGCTGGCACATACCTCCTCAGGACCTTAATGCAAAGACATAGGAGCTGGTTTGTTCCAGGGCCATACTAACAAATCGCTGTTTGAATACAGCTTTGATATAAAACACTTACTTCAGCTATTAATTAGCCTATGTTGATAAAAAGCAAAAATTAAGCTTTTTTCTTTTTCTCTCTCATTTTGGCCCTACCATTCTGCTCTGTCCAGAGCTGTAGCTTAGAGCGGGCTGCGCTCGACAGGCTGTGCTTTAGGCACTAGCCCTTCACATCCAGGCGTCCCATCCCTCCCAGGTCCTGCCCAGAACGTTGGGGTCGGTGGCCTGGTCAAGGAGACACTTCACTTGGGTCTCCTCCGAAAGGCCGTCGTCCGCCTCCCGGGCCCTGACGTTGTGCGCGGGGCTGCCGCGCGCCACCGCCACGTAGTCCTGGAAGGAAGGAGACTTCTCAAAGCCCAGCCGCAGCTCATCGCTGAAACAGGCAACACGAAAATCAATTACCCATATGAGAAAGAGAGCGATATGGATCCCTGAAGTGAAAGGCTACTTGAAAAATAAGGCTGCATGCACAATGTTTGAGATGCCTACAAGCTGTTCGATAGTTTTATAAGGCCTGGTGTTCACTGGTGAGTTCAGGGGTCCACCAGTAGTGGATATTTACCATGAATATTTTAGGGTTCACAAAATCTCCAGCTGAAAAAAGGGCACACAGTTCATGTCCAAGCTATTTTCTATCTGTACCTGCCCTGCACATTTGCATCTGCAAGGATTACGCTGCCCCTTCCATTCAACTTCATGTACAAAGGACTCCTCTCGAGTCCTGCACTTCTTGGTACTCGTATAAGTTTAAACCAGGCTTCTTTTCTTGCTTTTTTTTTTTTTTTTTTTTTTTGGAGTTTCCCAAAATGTTTTTTTTTTAAAAAAAAAAAAAAAAAAAGAGAGGATGCAAGGGATTAATTGTACTTCAGCTGAACTTTGAAGACATTCTGGCTGGAGCCAGACTTGACTAGACCGGCAGAAATAATCTGAGAAGGCCCTCAGAACTGAATTTGATGTTTTTGGAAAGCAGCTTTCCTCCATGTCTCCCATACAGCTGTTTCAGGCTCCATTTCAATAACTCTTCAGCAGAGGAGCATCTCCTCAGATATCACCCTTAGCCTAAAAGCTGCTCAGAAACAGCAGTTTGAGCCGGCTGGCGGGTGGGGATGGCTGAGTTGCCAGGAACAGTGAAAATGCTGAGGCGGCCCGAGCTGGAGCAGGAAGGCTCACAGGGAGATATCTGGTATTTTGGCTGGCAGGATGATTCAGAGAGCTTGTATGTGCACCAAATGATCCTCCAAGGAGGCTTGTTGAAGTTCTGCCCTGCCTGCCTCCTCTCTTTCCTAGCTGCTAATCTGCCTGAGGGGAGCAAAATCTGACACAGGAGACAGCAAAAGTTATTTGTGGAGGAATTTAAAGCAAAAGGAAAGCATCTTACCAAGTGATTCTTCCTGGATTGCAGCCCATAAGTTTTCTTTGGACGTATTTGACTTTCTGCAGAGGGTACCAGTTTACTTCTGATGTGTTTATTTCCTGAATCCATGTGCCTCCTTTTCTCAGCTGCTTCTGTTCAAAGTTCTATGGAGAAAACATTTTTGTCCTATTTAACATAAATCATACACTTAGAAAGACCTCTAGGCCTCCACACGGTCATAGCAAGTCAAGTCAAGAACTCCTAAGCGCAGATGCAATGGAGGACAAACTAGTAAAATGGTATCTATCTCTGCCCGAGACTTCAAATTTAATTTACAGATACTTAAGCACAACTAGTTTTATTTTCTTTCTGCTATAATTACTAGTTTGAGGTATTCAGTAAATGTAAATCTAATAAGCACAGTGCAAAAGGTTCAAAATATTTATTCTGCCATCATAAATGATGTATTATGATCAAAACATAACCACATTTTTAGGATTATTGTGGACATAAATAACAGCATGCTAAGAACAGCTGTGCTACTATTCATCCCTTGTCATCATTAAAGAATTCTGCCACTTTCAATGTTTTAAGCACAGTAGAACAAGTAAAGATAAAAGTACTACTGAGGCTGAGCATCAGGGAATACTACCTTTTTGATCAGTTTTATCCTTATTTCAGTTTAAGGATTTTTAAATGAGAAAAAAAAAGAAAAAAGGAAGGAAGAAAGAGCCCACCTTCCAGTCTAGGGAAGGCTCTTTCACAAACACATCCATGGTGCTGATGAGGAGGTCTGGGTCGGCACGATAAGCTCTTAGGGCATGAACCATCACACTGTAAATGAGTCCCTCCTCTTTCACTGGCATCATCAGATTAACAAACTGGCGAGTCAGACGGAAAGGCATCAGCTCCGGCACCGGCAGAAACTAAACAAGAAGAGAGTGAGTGGGAAAACAAACAAATAAGGAGCAAAACCCTCCAAGAATTAAGAAAGTGTGCAACAGAAGGATTAGAAAAAATACTTTCTTTGGAAACCCTATTAGGTACTTAATGAAAATAATGTGTAACTCAATGGAACAGAGCCATTTTTACTCCTTGTCCTCTCGCTATGAAATTCTGTAGTTCCTTGGTTACCCAAGAATACCTGGAAACAAAGATTCTATTCTATTGATTAGAAATTACTCGTAAAGATTATTTTCTGTCAGAACGATGGCAAATGTGCACAGAATTCAGTGTACAAAGTATATTTCTAATTGCATATAGTGTACACAAAAAGTTGTAGCAAATTAAACAGAGGACAAATACCTGTGTAGCTGAACCAAATGCATATCCAAAATCTATCCCCACCATGCCGCCTGTCTCTTTGTTGATCATGAAGTTGGAGAGGTGTCTGTCCCCAATGCCCAGGATCCAGTGGCTGATGCACATCAGTGCATGGGAGCTGGCGAAGTGGGACCGCAGCGACAGGAAGGCTTGTGGAGCGGTGCTCATCTTAATGAAGGCTCTCCTTAAGAGAACAGAAGTCACTTGCTGCACACAAGTAAAACCCCAACCTTCATTCCACAACCGTCATTAGCAGCGTAGTTACCGGAGCAGGTCCTCTGGCACGCTGCTCTCCCTGCTTTTGAAAGCCATCACCGCTTCTGTACGGCTAGCGTTTCTGTAAATTAAGGAAAGGACAGTGTCAGCTCCTGAGGTTCCCCAAGGTTACATTCTTTGTCCAGTTTTAGCAGGCGCTCTGGCTCCAGGGCAGCCTACCCAACTGCATATTCACAAATAGGATGCCTGGAAAATGAACTTGAAAAGAAACTTCTAGACTCTTTCTTTATTAAGAAAATAAGTGAGCTCGTGGGAGCGTTCCTGCATTCTAGCGGGATTTTATTAATACTGACCTACTCCCGCAGAGCATCTTAAATAAGACAAAACAGCCAAATGGGCAAAACCCAAATCTAGCCAGGGTGTCATAATGCAGGTATTCCCTGGAACCTCTAAAAGTCTCCATGTGTCTAAAGTCTGTATTCTATGTACAATTCTATTTTAAAACTTACTTGTACATAAACTGGTATCGAAGGAGGCCTTGCGTTTTGCCCCCCATCTTGGACAGCCATTCGCTGTAGGTAGCACGAGGTCCTCTTGAGCTGTGGACAAAAAATGGGACTAATGATTTCTCTGTACTATCTTACCAGGTGTGAAGAATCTAGAGCCAATATTCGTTTCCACAAAAAATGGGACTAATGATTTCTCTGCAGGTGTATCTTACCAGGTGGGAAGAATCTAGAGCCAATATTCATTTCAGTCCAGCTTGCAATGGAAGTGAAATTTGAAATTTGTGCTCACTTGCCTCCCAGCTCTTAAATCTACTTCAGTCATTCAGACTGGCTAGAGGACCAGATGTCTCAAAGATGTTATTTCCAACAGGTACGAGGAGACTTAGAAGCTGCCTTGAGAAGGAAGACCCCAAACAGTTTCTCCAGGGAGGGAAAGCCATTGGTAACAGTGCCTTATCCCACGGAGCAGCACTGCACAGGCTGCTGCAGCACGTGCTGATCCCTGTCCAGCCAAGCAGGGAACACAGCAAGGTAGCCCTGAATCTCCCCACCGTGCACAGGAGGAGAGAAATAGAGGCTTAGAGAAATATGGCATTAAACCATCACAAACCAGTCTTCGTTAGTTCCACAGCTTACAGAATAATTGGATTTTTCTTCCATCTTACTACTGCTTCGACAGCCATTCAACTGCTATTCCAGCACAGCAGCACCTCTCCTTTTCTCACCCTTTCAAAGCATGTACTGCGAACTACCTCTTCTATTTAAAAGTATTATTTTCATTTATAGACCGCATTCCTAAACTTCAGAAGATTATTTCCCCTATGCCCCCCTGCCCCGAAGTACTGCCAGTAAGAATTTTCTTAGCTTTTTACTTTGGGAGAGCTGCTATTCAATCATAGCTCAGTGCAAAGAGTCCAAATTGACTTGACTGAAGTAGGTATGGGAAAATACTTGAAAGCTACATACAACTATACAACAGTATAAAATACCAACTGCTTTTAGTTTAAAAAAAAAAAGAGTGATCTTCTAATTTAGTGCACTAGCTCCTCCCTGCCTTATGACAGTTATGACCTTATGACCTTAAACACAGACTAAAGGTTTTTGCCCTCTCTCTTATGTATAGGGTTCATATCCCGAAATCTGCAGTACCTCAGAGGTCTGTCCTCACCAACTGCTAGGTTTAGTTTAGGACCAGTTTAGCCTGGCCCAGAGCAAGAGAACTAGTAAGAAGAAATTCTGTCAACAGTGCTTTGACAAGCCCAAACAGAGCTACATACTAGGGACAAAGCTGGTGAATGAAACCGCATTTCTAATTTCTAAATTCCAGCATGCAAACAGTCTGAAACACTAGGATTAATCAATTTTACAAATATTCATCCCTCAATTACAAATGCTCAAGAGAGAGAAAGTTGATTTCTTCAATGCAGACTTTACACCACGTCACAGACAGGGTCCTAGAGGCGCCTTGTGTGGATTTGCTGCTGTTCCCCTCAGTCACTGACTCACCCTGCTCAACACACAGCATCTGAGCAGCTCTGCCTCTGCTCCCCGTCCCCACTCCTCCTAATCCCCTTCTCGCTGACCTACGTCCACTTCCTGCCTTGATCAAATCAAGAGATCAAAATCCTTTGCTCGTAAAATCAATCTGCAGATAAGGAAATGGGGATGATGGTGACGTCACGGATGATTACGAGCCTCTTGTTCAAACAAGTTGGGTGGAGGATATTACAGGTACAATGGTACTCACTGAACAAACAGTTGCCAATTACTAATTTGGGTCAGGAAGTACAAAGTGCCTCCCTCCTTACACGCTCTTTTCTTCATTTAAAGAGATATGCGGCCACGAGATCAACAGGATCATGAGAAATCCCATGGTTGTGCTCTCTTTTACAGCAGACAGGTAAACCATGTTATTACCCGTTATAGTTGAAGTCTTCCTCTTCAGTCATGCTATTTTGAAGGAATTCTCTTAAAGTACAGGTATTTTCCAACCACTTGATGAGTCCCAGCCTGGAACAAAAGAAATCAGAGAAGGAGCTGGGAGCTGAACTGCAGAAGAGCAATGTAAACAGGAAGCAACTTGTTCTAGTGCCCACCACAAGAAGGTCTAAAACCACCACTTGAGATATCCTCCAAAAACGGTTTCCAGACAAAGTATTTCAGTGTTTTTAAATAAATATATAAATTAAGCCAAAGAGCTAGAACACTCTGAACTAGAATTTGGCACATAGAAAACTCACTTCCTCATCAATAGGAGATGTTGAAATGAGAATTTCTGTCCCTCAAGATAAATTCCTACCTTGTAGTCATGGGTATGACCTGGTATGTTTTTAATTGCATATTCCTTTGGCTGCAGGCAGCATCTTGGGAAAGGATAATGTTCATTACATCAAAAAGCTGTTGAATGCGCTGGTCTTGCCTCAAGTCTTCACCACCTTTGACAAGAAAAGGGTACTCCTGCTCATCACTGCCTCGGATCGTTATCCGTTTTGGTTTCCTCAGGGATGCCATTACTTTTATCTTGGAAAACAGGAAAAAAAAGCAAAATATTTCAGTCAAAGAGGCTTGAGGTTACAGAATCATCCCTGAGACTAAACATGTCTGGTATTCCCTACCAAGCATAATCATCTTGTTCAGTTACAACTAGAAAAAAAAAAAAACACAGTTTCATAGAAATTCATTTATGCATGCATGGCAATTACTTTTCTATTGTATCTAAACACAAGTTTATACCCAACAGGATTTTGACTCGAACTTAAAAGCATACCTGTTCATCAAATCCAGATATTCTCACATGGTATTCTGGCAGTGGTTTTCCTTTCCCATCATATTGACCTGAAGTAGCAGAGAAAAAAAAGTGTTAAGACTCTGATTTATTTCTTTATTTTTAAAGTTTATTCAAGACCAGAACATTTTTCCAGACTGGTAGAATGATAACTCCAAATAAAATATTTCAAAATACACAAAAACACCGCATACATGTCATATGATTTTATCTTTGAATTACTAATATTCTTTCTTTCTTAAGCCACTGGAGCTGAAGCTTTTCATGGTTTTAGAGGATACATCCGTGTTGATGAGATTGTTTGAAATGAAATCTTTACCTACGATTTAAAAAAGTTTTAAGGAGATGCAATTTTTTCAAAATAACATCAGGTATACAGCTTAGGAATACACACAAGAAATGATGAATGAAAGAAGCAAGGTGAAAATAGAGAAGCATAAAAGCCAGCATGAGAAGAGCAGCCGCTTTCTTGCAAAGAGCAGATGAGCGTCAACTCCGCAAGGAACGTACCAGGAACTTCTATTTCATTTCTCAAGAACTCAGCTTTGAATTCACTCATCCACGGTGAACATTCCTTCAGGTTTCCAGGTTCTTTATTGCTTTTGGTCATTTTTGAGAGGAGAGCATTTGTAATTGCTTGAAAATCACTGTGCTTCATATCCAACAGTTTTGAACCATGTTTTCCAAATTCGCGGTCAAATTCCTTCCCAAAAGCCTGAAGTTCATTTACAGAAAGGAATCTTGTTAACACAGTGTTCTCCCCAAGAACATTAAAAAAAGAACTTGCTCCACAGAGTTTTCAGTCAAAGCAGACAATGTTTTAAGCACATATACTTGAAAGTACTATGTACAAATGTGGAATTAAAAACATCCCTAGAGGGCAAATTAATGCGTGTATGCACTGGTGCGATGCAGGTCTGCCTTTCAGCCTCCTGGGTGTACAGAGTTTCATCCCTCCTCCTCAGCTATCTCAGTCTTCTTTCCACACTCCATTTTTTTTCCTCTCTGAGTCTTTTCATTGCCTGTTGGTTGAACTGCCAGCTAATACTCAGAGATGGCTACATTCTACCAAACCAGAGATACCCAAGATTTGCTTATACTGTTATATTTGCTTATACTGTCATATATGATTTTTGCTATATTAAAAGCAGAAGCTTATCCCTTTTTGCCCCTTCCAGCTGCACTTGGACTCGAGTAAGAATATCAATAATGCTGCTTATTAAATGGAAAATTGTACCTCACGCTTTCTGAGACTGCTACAGTCAACATATCTATCACTTTAAATATGCCTCCAGGTGATCACCCAATTGTTTGCTTTATTTGGTTCTTTGCTTACTTTAAAATTCAAGGCAGAAAATACATGATAACTTGAATACTGTATTTTAATTGATATAACCCATCCACAGTGTTTAAGTTATGTATTACTAGAATTTCATGTTAAAAATAGTTAAACTCCAATAAACTCCCAGCTGCCTCCTGCTGCCACCTCGCCTCTCCTCTCCCCTCCTCGCAGCCTCCACCTCTCTGCCCCGCACGCCTAAAAGCAGGGGCAGGAATTCTCGAGACACTCGCACGGGTTTATCTAGTGCTAATGCAGCACCAGAAGGGCCACGGGAGGGGAGAGATTTGGCCCCATCTAGCCCAGACCACGGGGCTGAACGCGGGGGACACGAGTACAGCCACACTCCTGCAGAAACTGCAGCAACTTGCAGCTCGGGCTGCTTTTGTATTTAAAGGTCTCGAAGTATTTTTCCCCTCCCTATGACATGGTCTAGTTGCTACTCAAACCTAAAAGAGGTTCTAGCATCCATAGTACCCTGGAGAAGGACTTCAAAGCTCAACTGTGTAGTAGATGAAGCACCACATCCTTTTTTTGTTTTCTATTTCAACCTGCCTTCTGTCAATGTCCTTTGCTACTCCATGCTTGAAGAGAAAGAGAAATTGCAAAGGGTATTCGCTCCCTGCTTCATATTCCCGATGTTAAGAGCTTTATTACATCTGTCATCATCATGTCTTTTCTAATCAGAGGAATCCTGAAGATGTTCCTTGTCCAGAGGAATTACTCTTGCCACTAGGAAACTTTTCCAGTGCCACTACCCTTTTGTTGAGAAATGAACTGAAACACAGTGTTTGAGAGGCAAGAACCAGAGGAGGTTGTTATGTATAAATATATAAAGCTATACTTTGTTCTTGCCTCTTAACAGTTTTCTGCTTTCTTGACTGCAATGGAGTATCCACAATTGATTTTTCACAGAGCTGTCAAAAACGAAGATCTTGCTCTTAAATTGCAACAGTGAGCTCAGACCTGAACAATTTTATGTGAAATCACAATTCTTTGGGACCATATGCATCATTTCATTTTCCTTTAACTCTTTTGGAACTCACTCAGCTGTGTAAAGCAATGTGTAAAGTCAGTTACGCTCCACAGTTTTCTGCAGGACTTTCCTGAATTGCTCAGGATGAGCCCCGGCTCTGCTGTCGCGGTACAGCGCAGCGCCCCGAGGTGCTGGTACCTGGCACCAAGGGAACAGGACACAGGGAAGGGAGGACAGCAGCGGGGCCAGCTGGAACTTCCAGCCCATGGGACAGTCAGCAGCAGAACTGCAACAATTCCCTCACTTTTAGCAACAAAATCCCAACTCTGCATGCCTAACCTGATCAATTGATCAATCAGGTCCTGCAGCACCTGTCAAGTTGTCATCTGGTCCCTGGTCTTCCAGCGCTTGCTAGAAAAGCACACCATGCGAACGGTATTTATTTGTTACATACCTGAATAAACCTTCTCCTCAGCAATCCAAGGCCAGGAGCTTCTAAATCTCCCAAATTCCTATACATTTCTTCATACATTTTTTGAAGCTTATTTTTATTCCTCTGAGTTTGTAACTCATTTTTGACATCTTCAGTCCAATCCTGCAAACAAGAGGGAAACGGATGCGTACTGAGAAAACCAGTTTACTGACCCTCTGCCTCTTTGATAATCTGCACAGACTGCATTCAGTTTTTGTTTTTGCTAACAGCCAATTAAAGAATCTTCTGAGTCATTCTACAACAATGAAAAGGCTATGAGCATTTTCCTTCCATTCTGTCTTTAAATGTTTCTACTTTACTAGCATAATTATGCTCATTAGGATAGTGTCCACTGCAAATCAAGAAAGGCCCTGTTGGACTAGGAGCAAAACAAGAGAATCCTTTGGACAATGGATTCGAAATCTTAAAAGAGCGAAACTCAGCAGAGCGTAGGAACACAAACAGATAAATAATTTTGGAGATGGCCACAAATCATAATTCTCTACCAGCTCCAGAATATTTGACAAAGACCGACTGAGCAAGGAACAAGGCAGAGACCCTGAAGGAGAAGCCTAAAGGGGCTTGTGCAAAACAGCCTATTGCCCAAGTGAGAGAAATGAGCAAGTGCAGTGAGTGAAAGTCATTGAGCACAACCTGACGTCGCTTTCCGTGGATTCTGGGCTCCGTCTATAGCTCAACTGCTTCCCATGGCTGCAGGGTCGACCTCTGCCTGCCTCAGCAAAGCAGTTTCTTATGCAAACACACACCGTGGGGAAGGAAAAGAAAGAGGAAAAATCCACTTTACCTTAAAAAGGAGCATGGGATTGGAGAGCTGTTCGAGGGAGCGGACAAAATCTTGAACTACCCCTCCTCTGTCCAGCTTTTCCTTGATCCTGTGAAAGAAAAAAGTGTGTAACACAGAACTACCATCACCACTTTGCAGATAAGCAATACCCTGATCTTCTAATTACTCAAGAATATCCAACTAAATAATTTTGCAGAGCTAATGAATAGGAGGAGTCTGTCAGAATTTTCTTTCAGGTTGCAGGGCTGTTAGAAGTGTTAGCTGTCCTCTCTTGCCATTTTTTTTTGGTAACCAAGTGCCCCACTATGAAAATAGCAGCTTGGTGGGGAGTAGGAAATGTTCTAGGAACAGCAATGGACAGTAGCAAGACTAAATGTATTACCATGCCTATTCTTCAACCGTTTATGAAGTAGAAGCCTTTACTTTTTTTTTTTTTTCAATTAAAGAAACACAGCAAATTAATCAGAAATTTGGAAAAAAAAAATGAAAGACACACCTAAAATTATATTAATGGTTCCATGGTACTGTGGAATAGCAGTGGACTTTTGCCTGGAGATTAACTCAGCTTTTTATTGCATGGCCAAATGGTGAAGGGGGGGTTTGTACAAGAAGGCTCATTTTGGACAGTGAATAAGCAGAGAAGAACAAAATCACTCCCCCAAAAATGAGATGATTCCGTTTCACTGATAGCTGAGGGAGCATCCATTACATTTAAACATCTCTGCTCTTAGTTTTAGAAAAATCCGAAACACCCAAGCTTCACCTTCATCTCTGGCAGGTGCTGATCCTAAATCCTGTGAAGTGTTTTACAGTAAGAGCTTAAGTGCCAGACTTTCCTTCAGCCTCGGCAGAGCAGGGGAATGAAGAGGAGGAGACCTTGACTTCCACATAATTACAAGGGAAAACAAACTTGGGTATCCAACTACCACCTGTGCACTGCAGGAACTCACCACTGCACAGAGTGTGAGGCCACCTATGTCTAACATTAAGACACATTATGTATCAAGGTTTTCCTTGTGCCGTGAAATCAAAGCATAGCGTGCACGGCACTATGCCCTAATGTTTCTCACGCTCCCTACAGAAATGTTATTTTAAACTAGCAATTAACTCCCTGCATCCCCAAATAAAAAGAATAAAGATAAAAGAGAGCTATTATTCTGATTGTAAATTCACCTTTCCACAAACTCCTTGTTCCTGCAGCCAGCTGCAGTATCTGTGAACGAGTAACTCTCACTGCTGATCATGAAGGGGTAGATGATGGCCTGGGGATAGGTATTTGCAATCTCTTCCACAGTGTGCTGCACAGCTGTTGCTTCATCCTTGTCAAGCAGTGCCATCATCTGGCTAATCCAACCAATGAACTGCCAACAGGGAACTGAGGAAAGCTGCAAAATACACACACAGCGTCAGTGCTTTCAGCTTTGCTTCTCCGTAACAATGCCAGTGGAATCACACCCAAATTAACCCGCTCTGTGTCCCCAGTCAGCACACACAAACACTTAGGGGGGGAAGGGAGCGTGTTACCTAGGTGGCACAAAGCATTTCCCAGCGAAGCACGGGGTATTATCCTTATTGTTGCTTGATAGGTTTTCCAAATCGCAAAGATTTGTAGTTTTTTGATCAAGATGGGGAGTTTTACACTCAAACTTACAGCATGTCTGTCTGGATGCAATCTAATATTTTTTGACCACTCATGAACAAATTGAAAATGTCAGGGGGTATTTCAAGTGTCACTGTGCTTGAACTAAGTAAAATGGAAAGGGAAACACTAGTCCTCCCACCACAGTTTTGCTCTTCATTTTTTTTTTTTTTGGTAAAAAATATTAACCATTTCACTTTTCAGTAGAGCACTTCCAGTGTCTCCTCCAAGCTCTCCTTCCCCTCCAAAATGTATTTGGAAAGGAATTCTAGAACATATTTTCTTCTGACCGTAAGAGCCCAAACTCAGTCTTTTCCCATCTCATTCTGAGTTTAAGAGGAAATCGTCAGCATTTATCTCACAGAAAGGGGAAGAGGGCAAAGAAATGCACAGTAAACTTCTTTTCTTTTCTTGGTGAGGCCTGTTAGCTGGAGCAGGCATCGGGTTCTGTTTGAATGATCCAGGTTTCATTACGGTCACACCTATTCCTCCTTTTAACTGTTTGGGCACCTTCCTCAGATAACTGAGCTGTTCTCCCGTCTCTCCTGTGCATTTGAGCTCTTGTTCTTCCAGGAAAGAACTGAAATCACGGAGGAGTGACTTCACACAGTGCCTCCCTGTGTGTGCATGGACCAGGGGCAGGAACAGGTCTGAAATCACGGCCAGTCCAAGACGGGGACAGTCCTGAGCAAAGAGGATGACGCCATGTGACAAAAGGGAAGGCCCTGTCCACGGGACATCCGGACGTATAAAAAGAAATAAGAAAAAGGTAATGGAAGGGGGAACGGGAAAAACAAAGGTGGAAGAAGTTGTAGCAAATCTCGGAAATAAAGCAGGACATGGAGAGGTGGGAAAAGGGAAAATTTATCTGAAAAAAGGCTGCTGATTCCTGACATACAGGAAACAGCCTACAGAAATAAGATATGTTTGTCACTCTAGTCCTACCCACATTTACGAACCCACTTAGATTAGTCAGAAGGTTGGAGGAAAAGCAACTTAACTTTTCTTCATCAGCTCTCGAACTAATATTTGGAATTAGAATAACAATAAAATGTTCAATTTTTAAGAAAAACTTTTTAAATCCATCTTCTTTAGAGAAAAGTCAAGGCATAAAGTTTACCTGAGTTACTTGAGGCAAAACTTACCAGTGTAACTCCTCCATCTACACAAACTCAACCTCCATCTTTTAAATTCTATTTATAGCAGCATTTGAGAACAGGAGAATGGAAGCAACTAACCTCCCGTGTGGCTAGACCCAATGTCTCCGCTGGGTACTTTTCTATTATTTGCAGCAGTCTAGGAAATCTCAGCCTGGCTTCTCTGGAGTTCAGTTTTAGAGCTTTTATCATTTGCTCCACCACAATAGCTGGGAATAGCTGCAGATCTGCAGGGTTGATTTCTGCCAAGAACCATTGTAGAAAAGTTATCAGAAACACCATCACTTGTTCCATGTTTTTGATCATCTAGAACATTTTTCGCTACTATTCTGTATTTTTTTAATTTTTTTATTTCTACTTTGTTCTTTTTCTCGTTTGAACTGCACACATCAGTAACACACGTATTTGGGGACTGTCAGGATTAGCTTCATGAGGAAGCTGCATCACTGCTGCTATCCTGCCTGTTCCAAACAGCACTGCTGGGGTCCAGGAGGGAACAAGGGAGGCATCTGCTTGATATGTGTATGTCTTACAGGTGAAAGGAGGACTGCACGAGTGATGCACTGGCATGAAAGCTAGCAGTAATGGTAAAGAAGGGGTATAAATGCTGTCAGAGTGGAGGACAAGCTGTTCTTTTAAACTCAGGGAGGTCTCCCAGGCAGCACAAAAATGGATGTATCCCAGACAAATCCATTATTCCAAGCTCAGGGCCAGCCCTGGCTTACCAATCAAGCCTTCTTCTTCCTTGCGGAGATGCTCGTCACAGAACCCGACCAAGGTCATGTAGGCATCGACGACGCCAGCAACGTCCACGTGTTCCGCAGAGTGCGACTGCACCTCCTCTTCACACCTCCTCACAGCACTGCTGAAACACTGCAAGGCCCTCTTGTTCAGCCCTGCTAACACCTGAAATCCATCCACAGGAGAAAAAAATACATATGAGCAAACAGCACTCAGCAATTCCTCTTGAAACCAGAGCTTGGTTGCAAAGATCGAGCAAATAAAACAAACTGTACTAAGCATTTTGAGCTGCACAAAGAAAATACAAAGGATGTTTTTTCTAGTAGCAATTGTCAGAATTTTCAGCAGAAAAATGTAAAACAGACTTTAATTCAATTTGATCTCCAGAAATGTAACCTAGGATTTTTACACCTGCAAAAAATGTTTATTTTACTAGTATATTCAGGTTGTTTGTAAAAAAAAAAAAAAAAAAAAGCATGCATCAAACAATTCCAAAACTGCTAGCTTTTCCCCTATTAGATACATAGTTGTAAATCATACTTTTCTAACAAGTTCATATTATGAAGGAATGTATAAATGCTTTGCAAGTGATAGTTTGTAAGTCATGCATATGTATTTTCTCACTGCCAACAAATATAATCACAATGATTCTATGATTCTAAGGCTAAACACGACAGTCTTGTAGAAATATGTGATACACCAGGCTGGTTCATCTGACACAGGAGAGTTTTTAGGTTCGTTTTAAGAACACTTCTAATAATCAGCTAAACACGAAGCTTAAATTTTTGCTTATGTTTCTACAACCCTGAAAACTGAAGTCTTTTTGCAGGAAACTTCTACTTATCTGCTTTCTTCAGCATCCATAAAAATATGAAGAACTGTTTTTTGCTGTTTTATATCAACAGGGTTCATATCCCAGGGTCGTGGGAGTTAACAGAAGTCAGTAACTGTACTTTAAATTCTCACTCAAAGCAATATGACAGACAAAAGGTCAGTGCCAGAGCATCTGGAACAGCTGACAGTACACAGTATTTTAAATGCAGCACAGTCCGCCAATGTATTCCTCAACTCGATAAGTGTAAAAACAACCTAAATTATTATTAAAAAATACTCCTAGAATCACTTAGATAAATTAAGTATACCATTGTCATTGTTAGTATCAATGTGAGTATTATAAAGATATCTTTGTGAGATAAGACAGCCTAACAGCATGAATAACTTCAAGAATACCTGGCTGAATTAAGAGCATTATCAGTGGATTGTATTCCCAATCCTTGTTTACAGCTTACAGCTGCAGTCAGTATACAGCTTTGTGCTCCATAAAACATACAAAACACAAGAATACTTTCCCAGCAAAAACACTACAGCAGTACAAAACTCCAGGAGAGCAAAACCCAGGGAAACAGCAGCCAGAGCCACCGTTTTGTTTCCTAGCTGGTGTTCCTGGAGAAATCAGTGCTGCCTTCACAGCCTCTGCAAACATCCATACCCATTACTACTTACTAAAGTAGTGACTGCACCGAAATACCTAAAAGCTCTTTTCCCTTCTCATTTACCTTTTCAGGACTCTGAAGACTCTCCCCCGACAGAACTGCCACTTTTCTAGCTCCTTCTTCCTTGACTTGCTCAAGGCACGTTGGATCTCGACTAAGGGCGCTGGCCATCACGCGGTAAGTGGTACCCAGCAGGAGGTTCTGGTTTCGGAAGGCCGTTGTTTTCTTGCTTAGGTAGTCAGGTTTGGTGTCTTCTGTTGGAATTCAAAAAGCAAGGTGGGAATTTGACAACACAGCAATTTCATATAGCAGAGAAAGTGCAGCACGGACAAAGGCTGTTACCGAGTAGGGACACAGTTTTTAACATGGAGAGCACTTGTTCAGGACAGCTCTGAGCCCGGCACAGGCTGTGGGTGAAGCGGCAATAGGCGTGATTCCACCTCACCAGCCAGTCGCCTTGGCCTCGGGCCTCTCTCTGCAGGCATCTCAGAAGTTTCTTGGCAATGGAGAAGCAGTTCTGCATTAAAAGGAAGAGGCAGAATTTTCAGGTAATGTATCCGAAGAGGAAACAAAATATTCTTGCAACTAAATTAAGGGACGGAAGGATTTAGGTAACAAAAGTATAAGAGAACGTGCCAGGTTAAAAGAGGTCCACTGCTTTTTGGTTTATCAGATTCAAAATCAGATTTCTGCTAATGGAGACACTTGAAAAGGAAAAACAATACACGTTTTATAAACTGAGGAAACTAAAATAATTCTTTTTGTATGATTAAAAAGACACTAACTGTTCTGCAATATAAACACACGTGGGCAGCGTAACTTGGCTTACAGTACCATTTGGCAAGTCACTGTGCATTGTTTGTGTTTTAATGATCAAGGTCCATATAAATAATATTAAACTTGCCCCAGCTCTTTACTCATCTGTACGCTACACAGCATTAACGTTATATTTGGCTGCCAGTGTTAATAATGAACTCTTCCACTTATTCCAAATTTTCGCAGCATTTTGGAAGACCAGGGAGACCTTGACTTATTGATCTTGTTCAAGCTTGAAACACCAAAAGTCTATTATAAAAGAGACGACGTTTCAGTCATTTTATCAGTGAGATCTAAACAATATTTCAAGTCGCTTATAGCTTTACTTCTTTATACAAATGTTAGCCCAAATATGTAATCATGACACTATAATGAAAAAAAAAAGGTTTCATTATTGCTGATTGAAGTAAATTATAGCGATTCAATCTAAATTTGATTTGCTTTCTTATATAGAAAACACTGTTTGTAATTGAGAAAACAGCATGTTTGGTTGCCAGCCTCCTTTTCATTAGCATTTCAGGGTGTTTTTTATTTTTTATTTTTTATTTTTTTTGCCTTAGAGAGTTTCAGAAACCATCTGCAGATCAAAGAGGCCTTCGGGCGCACTTCCAGTAATGAGAAATTATCAAGCCTTTAATTAACATTTATCTACTGTTTTCTTTCTCTGTGGAAGGGACTTTCTTCTACATTCAAAACATCCTGGACACAGGGTCAAGAAGCGAGGAGCTCTGAGCTAGCAGAAAGTGTCCTATGAGGCTTTCCCAGCTGTAATTTCTATGGATTTTCCAAAACAAAACAAACAAAAAAGAAAAACAGAGTCACCTGTTTCCTGGCACTTTCTATCATCTTCATTTTCATGTTAAATTTGCAGTTTTTTATCATTGAGGAAATGTCTTCATCCTGTTGATCCACTTCCATTTGGTCACCAGTACCATATTCATCATCCACTTCCATACTATCATTGGCCTGATCACTAGGAAGCTTCTCCTGCAGTTTGTCAAGAAAGAAACACCTGCACAAGGACAATTGGAGGACAAATCAGTCTAGCATCTGGCCAGGGGAAGCAAGGGAATACAGTATTGAGCTTCCTCACAGTAAGCATAGCTAAAAACCAACGTCCAGCCACGGTGAGCACACTCCCACTGAGTTGGGACAGTCAAAACCAGGGGTAGGATGACTAAGAGCATCCCAGATTCTGATGCAGGGAGATCAAATATCGGAGATATTAGCAGTGAGATTAAATATCGGAAAACGTCTATAACAGAGCAAGTGTTTTGCTTATTTTTTTCTAAGTCATACTTTTAAGTTCACCAAGTCATAACTTCTACTCCACTTTACAGTAGTGAGAACAAAAAGCCATCTCATTTACAAAGTGCAAGTTCCATACTGTATTTTGCCAACCTCAAACTCAAATGTACACGACACCAAAACATGTAAGAAGGTCACAATTACAACTTAAAATTTAAATTGCAGAAAAGACCCGTGACCATTGCGATTAAGTATTGCTAAATATTTTATAGGCTACAAGCAGTTCCATCTAATTTAAAAGCACCTTTCATTTTGTAGACAGTTATTCAATGCAAGGGAGTCTGCTCTGGAGCTTTATAAAGTAGCATAAAAGTACTGCATAAAAGTAGTAAAAACAGCACATCCTCTGTTACCCTAATTTGAGTTAAAGGTTTTGTAAGGATGCACAAAAGAAAGCCTTTAAGACACTGGCAGTCCTTCAAATCATAGCAGTTTTGAGACTTTGTAAAGGAATAAGCCATACCATGTAGTCTGCCTAATATTTAACTGGAACAAGTACTGCCATGCTCTCCAGACACCCAGAAATAACAGAATAAATTGCAGGACCCAGTGGGTATCAGCAGAGCTGAACAGAAATTGTCTCCAGAAATGGAGAAAGGATCTGGGTTTGTAATGGAGGAATGGATGGGGATCAAGAAAAATACCACAGAGAGAAAAGAAAAATTATAAATTTGAGTAACATATTCCAGCTTCTTCAGAGATAATCCAAAGGAGTCTCTGGAGAACCTTTGTTCTTTCTAGCAACAGTTGCATAGCAGAAGTCTCTAGTTACAGCAATCATCATTAACCTTCACATAAACATGTGAAATACTGACAGTGATAGTGCTAGGCCTCTTCTGTACACTCCCTACCATTAGAACTTTAACTGGCTATGAAGTATGCATGCATTTTTATTCAAAACAGAGCTAAATGCAACTTATCTGCTCAGTTATGTGTGGTTGTGCTCAAAGGCTGCAGAATTGAACCAGCTTGTCTTACTCTCTGTATTTTTATAGAATATATGTAATCTCTGATGCAAAGCAATGCTTAAAATACCAGTTTTGTTTCCCAACAGTTTTGTTTCCTGGTTTGTTCAATTTTCAATCATCCTTTGTTTCTCCCCACAAGTTTGTCATACAAAAAACAAAGTATTACACTAATTGGTAAGTTACTATAAAAGCTTTTAAAAAGTCAAATACTGGATCCAACGCCCACATTTGTACACAAGAAGTATTTACAAAAAGCATTTCTCTAAGTTTAATAGGCACACAGAACTAAAGCTAACAGAAGAATCTCATTTTACCGATTTGTAATGATATCATCCCAGATGTTCACAGGATCCATTTTAGCATCTGGATATCTGCTTGTCCAGATTCTAAGAAGTCTCTTAAGGGAAGTCCGTGAAGTTAAGTTACCTAAAATCAATTAAGAACACTTTAAAAAGAACACTTTAAATCTAACCAGTGTGAAAAAAAAACCCTAGAACAAACTAAACTAGCATTTGAACTCTAAAACTGCAATGAAATAATCTATTTCTGGACTTGCATTAAATATGCTTTGGTGATCATACTACTTTGGATTTTTTGCAGAAGCCTGGTAGCTTCAATACAGAGATCACAGTGAATTATCACTGAAAAGCATCATCTTTCTATTCAGGAATTAGGTGAAACGAATGATAACTAATTTTGATACACAATATTTATATATTAAATATCAATTTTATAATTAAATATATAACATTTACATTAATTAAATATAGATAACATGGAGGTTTATGTGCATAAATTTATATTTCATTCTCATGACAGTAGCTATAAATTACACACTATGTCCATCTTTTATCTCTGCTAATCACTACTGGCTCATGAAAGTGACCACAAAAAAACCTTACTTTAAGATTTCAGTCCTCTAAGTGCAGAAATAGAAATTCAAAGCTGAGAAAACAGTTACTATTTAGTGAAAACAAACCAGAAAAAAAATGAGGAAAAAAATGTCTTTACTTGTTTTGCCCATAAAATTGATGAAATCCTGTATTTCTGTCAAAGTTTGCACAGACTGCAGTTTGGTCATTCGACTTTGATGTAACAAAGTATCAATACTGGAATAGCTCTGAAAGGAAAGGTAGAAATTGAGATTTCATACATAAGATTTACAACATGATTCTATTTAGTGCTCTAGAACTATACGTATGACACAGTGATGACCACACTCTGCAGTCAAACCTTTTGTAGGTAATTAAGTAACCTGCAATCTAACAGTAACTCTGCTCTAGGCATGTAAGGAATCACAGCTCCAACTCCTACCCAAGGGCTTAGAATAGTCCTATGGGCTAATGAAAACTTGGTAACAGCCACAGCTTTCACCCTCTCAATTTAATACTCTCCTTTCAAGGTTGTTCTGGGGGCAGTAGACTTTTAAAAGGATGATTGAAATTGCCATTCGTCTGTGCTAATAGTTATTGTGAAAAATCTAATTGGTGAAATCTAGCAGACAAATTAAAACAGAGAAGAGGCACTCCAGTGGCTGACTCAATTCTTGCCACTGCAATCATATAAGTCAATGGAGGTTTTGTCATATGTAGATCACATTGTATTTGGGAAAGTGTTTATCTTGAGAGTAAAATCTAGTAGCAATAACATCAACAACAGTTTAACTGTTCCATGAGTTTGCACAGGAAAATAATAAACAAAGCACATCAGATAGAGCAGTGATTATTACCTGCATGAAGATCTGCAAGCCATTGCTTATGTAGTATTTGGCTCTGTCAAAATCATCTTGCAGGATGTAAAGGAGACTAAGCTCCTGGCTGTAACGCATTTCTATCAGAGCTTTCTTCTCTTCCGACTTCATTGCCTCGTCAATAAAAGTCAGCAAAGTCTGGTCATTCTCCCCATTGAGCAGCAGCTTCAACTTACTGCGGATTATATATGGCAGATATGTCTCCTACAAGGGGAGAGATAGATGAGCATTTTTGGTTGGTTGTTTTCAGTGGCAGATCAGACATATAAAACTGCATTTTCCAGTGAATTCTTAAGAGTTTTCCTTCCAGTTTGCCAACAAATCACAGTCGACTTCTCTGATAAGTTCAGTAAGTTTTAGTTTAGCAAATCCCACTTTTAAAAAAAATCAGTGGTTTGGCAACTTTCAAAATGCATGAAGAATAAAGAGATAAAAGCAACACCAAAACTGCAAGGAGAATAAGAAGTTAAACCTGGTACTGGTCTGCTATGAATTTGAGGTACAGTTTAAGCATCTATAAAAACAGCAGGAACAACGGATTTAATTATTTTATATATGAGATTCTTTCCTAATTTCTATGAGAAAAATCAGTACAACTAATGACATCTAACTACAGTTAAGTACTATTACCTACTACTGCTATTAACTATAAATTATACAATTGATTCCTACACAGCTCACTAGGGTAGGACATCTCTGTACAGAGCAAAAGAAGGTAGTATCAGAACAGTGATTCCCAGAGACCTGGTAGAAGGGATCATTCCAGATTTTGTTGAGGTCCGGAGGTTCCCCGCTGTCGATGTTCAGCGTCGCGCAGTGCTCCAGGGACTTCCACTGCGTCAGGTGATCGTAGCACTCGAGCGAGGCGAGTTCCCAGAAGTCCTTCTCTGCCTCCGTCGGCTCCCCATCGGGCCAGTCTTCATTAGAGAGGGCCTAGGGAACGAATTTAGGGAGGGAGGAGATTCTCAGCTGGTTTAAATTCTAAGTCAGCGAGAACTTATTCGAGAATAACCTGTTATCTCGAAAATATTTACCCACTTAGCAGAGTGTGACAGCAACATTACTGAAAAATTAAGCTAGTTGGTATTTATATACAAATTTATTTCAGACAGCTATCTTCAGTACATCTGCCTTTTTAAAGAGCCAGGGCTTTAAAAGAAGGTTACAGAGATCCTTCTTCCATTTACACCCGCTATTACTCAAGTGATTGCCATGATCATGTACTGTTTGCTCTCTAGGGACAGTAGCCCAAAGTCTTTTACTTGCCTCCCTAGGTCATCACATATGCAAAGCTTTGTAACAGTGGGGGGAAAAAAAAAATAAAAATCACACTTGCTGATCTCTGCTGTGACTGCTCACTGCACCTGCTACCCTATGTTTATACATTGAGCCATCAAAAAAACAGATATTTTCAGCTACACACTGCTCTTCGTAGTTTTTCACTTTGCTTTATTACTATTAAGCAACAAGAAAGGATTTTATGAGAAAGAGGTAAAAAAGAAAAAAGAAAAAAAAAAGAAAAAAAAAAAGGAAGATTTGGGGGAGTCATTTTACCTCATCATAATATTTAGCTGCTTCAGCATAATCGCTTCTTGCTTCCGCCAACAATGCTTTCTGTGTGATTTCCTTAGTGCCAATCTTACCACTGAAAATGCCACGAAGGACATCATAATCTCCAAGAGATCGGTAGAGTCTAGTAAAATCAAAAAAGCAAACAGTTTTAATTAGTTGAGCAGAGGTATGTTAATGCAAAGATAAACTATTTAAATCAAATAGTCAGTATTGACAGAAATAGCATAAGCAGCCATCCAACCTCTGCAACTGGCTCTGCGTATTTCTTACATCAGATTGTAAATTTATCCCTGTAAACTTCATCTTGTAGATCACCTGAACACCAGTAACTCCTAAAAGCTAAGGACAAAGATGTTTTTCATCAGCCTGACAGCACTGTCACAGAGCACAGCTGTAAAGTCTGACTGCCGCAACTGAAAGCAATTAACTGAGGAGAAATTAAGAGAGACCCAATTCTGAAAAAGGGAAGGAATAAAAAAGAAGCCCTGCAAGTTACAAGGGCTTCTTCACAGGGTAAACGGAGCAGAGGTGAACAGTCTCAGAGGAGCACGTACTTCCCCAGCTCGATCCAGCGCGCGGCGTCGGGGGGCAGCTCGGCG